AAGAGCGGTCATTTCAATTGAGAAAGGCGAAGAAAAGTGATGAATAAAAAAACGGGTATAAATTTGCACGAGAAAGAGGTTTGACCAATAAAGAATCATTTGTTACGATATATGACTACGAAATTTTCAAAGGAGGATATGGGTGGGGTACCGCATTCGCGTTTCGACGCACATATAGAATATATGTACATATGTGACATACATATACATATATGTTTTCATGCAATGGCGTCGAAGCTGTACCTGACAATAAAAATGTCATACCCAACGCATAATTATATTTGTAAATGCCATTATCTGTAAAAATATATATATATATCACGTTTATGTTTTTGATATGTCTGCAATCACCTGGCGAGCATGTGCTTTATTTCGGCTTAACTGCGACATTCATTAACATATTTATAGAATTTTTTAACGTGCTCGTAAACGTCACTAAAGGCTGCAAAAACACCGCATTATTTCCCTTCGTGTTTCGACATAAAGTAACACTCATCACGACGCAATTTTCACGATTTTATTTTCATGTAAATGAATTTAGCGCTAAAATGCATTTCTTAGGCCCTAAGCGAATACAAAACTATGTGAATCGCGAGGAATTAGAAGCAAAGAATTGCTAAAAAATTACAAGAAACAAAATGGAAAATAGTATGCAGAAAAATGCACATATATGTATATACTTTGAAGAGATGTTTTTACTCGACATACGAATAAAAACGAAAGTTGCAGCGGTTTACGATCGTCAAACGTGAGCTTTCTTCCTACTTTCTTTCCTTTCGCCATTCATCTCTACGCCATTGCCAATAGATTTACATACGCATACAAAGGAACACGTAATACGAGACTCCCTGTGTGCTTCGGAAAGAGATACTCCCATATGAGTTTCGGTGCATGCGAGGTCCTTCGGTTGATTTTCGATCTTCCTTTTTTAAATGGATGTGGGATCATTGTCTACACGTGATCACGACCATGAAACACGTGGGCGTAAACTGGTAGGGTCCGCCGAACATTAGTTTAGCCTTTGAAATTTTACTACTTTACAGTAAAATTAGGTTCTCTATTATCTTACAGTAAAATTGGGCAAAAAAATGTGCATTGATACAGACATATTATTTAATTGACCTCTTTATCATTTTCTTTAAAATTCATACACCGGACAAATAATCGTGACAAAATAAACTGATAGATGAATTAGAATAAAAATATACAGATTTAAAAATGAGAATGTTATTATAATATAAAGATATAGGTTTATATTCTCTTTTACAAAAATCTAATACTGGCTAATTTAATATTGACCAATTTATTATTAAAAGACGTTAATTAATTACTTATTTGGAATAGAAGAAATACTGAACAATAGTACTTTTCGTAATAAAATACGTAATTAATTACTGTTTTTTAGCATTAGCTAGTATTAAATTTCTATAAGAATTTACACCTTACTTTTATCGATAATTGCGTATATATTTATTTCTGAGATTCTATAATATCATCTATAATATTTCTAACATAAACTATATATTTATTTCTGAGATTCTGTAATATCATCTATAATATTTCTAACATAAACTATATGCTAAATGCGCGCGTATTTATTAATAAAAGTTAGGTGTGAATACAGACTAAGGGTGCTTCTACAATATTCTACATAATTCGCAAATTGCAAAACGTAGTTCGCAAATGCTGACGTAGAATAATGACCCTCGCACGCAAGACACACACAGATGAAAACTGCATGCAATGAAAAAACAAACGCAAATCTTCGTTCTGCGTCTACGTTTGCGAACTACGTTTTGCGATTTGCGAATTATGTAGAAGCACCTTAAAGAATAGAAGTTTTAACGTGATGCGACTACCTTTTTACTTCCATATTTTTTTTCTTTAAAGGAATATGAAGTTAAATTAAAGTTTGTAAACTAAGATATTTAATGTATGATAATCCTGTAAAAATCGGCTTACTTTTTATAAAGAATTTAAATGTAATGTTATTTTACCAATAATTTTTCTTCTACTTTGGTTAATTAACATACAATATTAGGAAATGTAAATAAATTGTATAGTTAGAGCAATTTATTTCCTCGTAGATGATCGGACGACCGGAAGTGTATTTTCGCTCTTCGGACGATACGTAAAATAATTATCCCTTTGCCTTTGTACATCGGCTATAGACTTTTGCCGTGAGCGAGACGCGTTTTCTAAAACCGAACCTTTGTTTTCTTAATCGAACTGAGTGTCCTCGAATAGCCGGTGAACGATAAAATGGAGTTCGCAGGACGCAGACGTTATTTCTCAAGTAAAAGTCAAATTTGCGATATGCGCAGCGTGCTTTCCTGTTGAATCCCTTTTTTTGGCGTGTCCGTAAAGTAAAGTTAAAGTTTTTCGCGGTATGTCATTAAAATGCATGACTCTCACGGAATGGGAAGCTCGACGAGATGAGATCTCTACGACGGAAACGTTTAATCGTTAGGGACACTAATTTGTCAGAACCGGTGACATGAGGATCCCGAAATACGTCGTTACAGATGGTAATCGTCGGAAGAACGCAAAAGAGGTCCTCCTCTGCGGTATAGCGGAAACGCCGAAACGGGAGGAGAAGTAGAATCGCGCGAAGCAGCAGAATCCCGATTTACGAATAGATACGCAATCCATAGGGAATATTTTTTTCACGGAGAAAAAAGGATTTCCTGGGACAAGCGATGTTTGAAATATGAAGCTCACTATCGATATAGACAATGCAAAATCTGTCGTTTTGTTGTTTTTTAAATGCGTGAGAAAATATGTATACTCTTCATAAATACGAGGAAATTCAAATCTCCTTAGTCTAATATCTAGAAATACGATAAAGGGAAATAGTATATCTTATATTTTTCTCTCAATTTCTAACGCATTGTAGATATAAACATA